GTACGCGATCCAGAATTCTTCAGTCGAATAATGCGCAATACTAAAACGTGATGAGTGAATACTAATGCGGAAGTAGAGAAATACTAAAAAGTCGCTAAGATTCCAGAACGTAGAATCACTTGGCCACAGACGTCCACCTCAGTCCGTGGCTCGCGTATTACCAGTGATCAGTCTCGTCCTCTGCAGTTAAATAAAGACGACGTGCGGCGCCGAGCTACTGTCTCGGTAGCCTATCTACTATATTATTATTATTATTATTATTAATCTTCAAAGAAACAAACAAGCGCGAAGAGGAGCGGCCCGAAAGATCGTCGCGCGAGAGATAACAATCGCGTCCCGTCTCTCTCCCTCTCTCTCACTCTCTCTTTCTCTCTCTCAAGGACCTCTCTTAAACTTCCTCGACTACCTAACAGTTACGATCTCGCGCACACACACGACAAGTCGTCGGCAACGACAACGCGCGGGCTCGCTCGCTCTCGCTCTCGCTCTCGCTCTCTTTTCTCCTTCTGCCTATATCCTGAACGGTCACGGCTGGCGATTTTGCGGTTATCGATCCCCGCCCTCGCGGTGTGTTCACCTCCCGGTGCCGTTAAAACAACCTAACCGTAATGTCAGTGTACTAACACGTGTGCACGTACACATACAACGTCCTACACGTATACGCGCGAATATTCCCGTAGGTACATTCAAGAGAAGATATCTCTCTCTCTCTCTCTCTCTCGCTCTCTCTCTCTCTCTCTCTCTCTCTCTCTCTCTCTCTCTCTCTCGCACGTACGCGCGCTTCGTAAACATGTACGGCGCATAAATTACTCCGACCCCTATACGCTTTGCATACGTTACATTATATACAGCGTAAGTAAGTAAGCGAGCGCGTACACACACACACACATTCTCTTCCCCGCGTGTGTACGCCGTCACGCATATAAACGCTCCCATCGATTGTACGATATACCAAGCGGCGCGCGGCGTGGCTCGCTTTCACGGATCGTAACGCGATTGCCCGGCTATCCGCCGGCTCCGTCCGGTTGCGTGGTCGGCCACACGCGCTAATCGTATCTGGCGCGTATGTATGCGAAGTATATACGAATACGGGGAAGGCGCGACGCACTTTTCCTTTTTCTTTTTTTTTTTCTTCTTCTTCACCGCGCAGATCACCGCCGTCGTAAATCACGCGAGCGAGTAACGGAACTCGCTCGTCTCGTGATTTGACTTTGCCTCGTAACTAACGCCCGCCCACGCACCGCGCACCGCGCGTCGGCTATATATTGTTCGACTTTCTTCACGCGGAGATGCGAGGGGATGCGAGGAGCGCGACCGAGTGTTTCAACGTGTTTAACTTTCGCACGAATTAATGCACCACCTGAAGATCGCGGAAGATATGAATACAAGGCGTGGGCAAGGATATATCCAGGCGTGGCGCACGGGCGAACGAAAAAAATTCGCGATTGTTATCCTGGCCGCGAATTGTGTGCGCGTCTTTTTTTTTTATCTCGTATATAAGAGGTGGAGAAATTTTCCGTGATACGCGCCGCGTCTGTGGTATAACGCGAATGTAGGTCAAGGGTCGCAATGTAATAATCATCGTTGTATATGTACGTTATATCGACTAGAATATATGAGGATATATATATATATATATATATATAAGTATATTTCTATTTGAAGTATTCTATCTTCCGCCGCGCGTACGCCCGATTGATTTTTATCGAGCAGCGCTGTCGTATTTTTACGATAGTCGCATATACTTTTAATCCTATACTTCTAATTTTATTAAAGGGGTTTTCTGAATTTTCCGTCTATAGCTGCCAAGATATCGGCGTGGGCAGACTGATCGAACAGGAAACGATACTTTTCAGAGACGATTTCAAAAATTCGTTGAGGTCGTAATATTGAAGATAGACCTTTAATATCACAGGTCAATGGATTTGTCTCTTTGAGCCGTATCGATTGATTTTATTTTTATAGGAGAATTCCATTAAAAGAATTGATCCCCTTCCCTCTTCAGAATGTAATGTACGGAAGAGTATAAGGTTTTGTGGCACTGAAATTTTAAAGTAATCCCATTGAAGGGGATTTAAAAATTTTTTTTTCTAGCTTTCATAGTTCCGAAATATCGGTGTGGATTAAATCGAGCATCTTTTGTGTTTATATGTGTATGTGTATAATATGAGATATATATATATATATATATATATATATATATATATATATATATATGAGATTTCTGTTATTGAAAACGTTTGAAAACAGCAGATTGCTTTCTTACAGAAGTCACGAAATCGTGGCAAAACACTCGAAATTTTCGGACCTGTCTTTAATGATAGAAAACTCCTATATTTTTTAATAAGTTTTATGTTATAAATTAATTTTCTACATTTCAAATAATTATACATTATAGTTACATTATAGTAATAAATAATATCTAAACAAAGAATCGTGTCCATTTATTTCTTTCTCTGAAATAAATTCGCAAATTTCGCCTGGTGATCATAAAAAGCTTTTGTTCCCTCTTGAATCAACGTAAGAGAACTTCTTAGATTAAAAAGAAATTTCGGGAAAGATACAAAAGAAACGTTTCCCAATGTCTCTCGAATTTCTCTTTCGACCAATTATGACCAATTGTAATTCTCGCGTAAGCATATTTTTTTTATCGTCGAAAGAGGCCTGTTTTATTTGCGTCTCATTGTTAGTCTGCATAAAAGATATGTAGCACAAATAAAATCGTTGCCTATCGTTTGGAAATATAATCTGACAATAATAAAATTTGAGTCAAGGAGAGAATCTTTTTTTATCGACTACTTATATTTTTATCAATGCGACATAAAGAGTAGAATAAGAAAAGAGAATTTATCAGGTCTATCAGATAAGAACCTGGTTTACAAATTGAAAAGGCAATTCGTCTATATATCGAGTTCTCAATCTAATTAAATCGAATTTTAAGCGGTCGTCCTTCGGGAGAAATATTGTCGATACGAGTATTACGTGTCAAGCGGAATGCATGTTATCTCCTTTGTATGCAACTTTGTAGGATCCAAGATATATAAATATTATTTTTCGATACAAATGTGAAACTCATATGTTCAAGATAAACATAATAAGAAGAGATAAAAGAAAGTTTTATATACATATATGTATACATATATATAAATGTACACGAAGAGAATTTCCTTTTAAAATTTACTCTGAAAAAGAAGAACAGATAGGAAATAATTGTAATATTATATGTATATATTACATATAATTGTACATTATATACATGTATATTACAACTTTAAAAAAATATAATATATATTTAATAAAAAATACATGTATCTTAAACACGGAGAGAATTTCCTTTTAAAATTTACTCTGAAAATCATGTTAATCGTGGGACAATAATATTTCGACAAATTTTGCTGTGCACTATAATAAATTTGTTGTAGTATATATTTAAAAAAAAAAAGTGAAAATCACATAAAATTCGTCGAAATACTATGTTGTCTTATGATTAACATTTTCAGGGTAAATTTAAAAATAAATTTCTCTCCGTGTGTACATATATTTTTTATTAAATATATATATAATAATATTTTTGAAAAAGTTGTAATATATGTATATAATGCACAATTGTATGTAATATATATAACATTATTATTTCCTATTTCTTCTTTTTTGTCTTCTTGCACTGAATTTATCCTTTATTAATGTTTACTTTGTTTAATTACAGTTATTAACTTTTGTTAAAACAATTTCTGTCAAAATTATTTTGACCGCGTTGCTTTCTTTTCCGCACTTTTGTGACCCTCTCGAAAAGAGATCTTGGAGCACATTGAAACAACATGTTTATTGCCAAAAGATTTATTGGCAAATGTTCTCCTTCCTTCATTCGCTAGAAAGTCAGTTGTACAAATATAACACAGCGTGCTTTGACCTCGAAAGAATCCCAAGAATTAGCAGCGACCAGTCTATACGTGATCTTACGCACACGCACGCGGTTTATATCGCTATGATACACGTTTATCCGAGCCGAGGCTCGAGCATAGCTCATTGTTAACTATATGTAAATCGCGTTCTGTGGGCAATAATAGCAATCCACCGTCCGGTCGCGTAAACACAATTTCTCGAGGACGCCGTGCGCGAAATGCGTGGCAAATCGTTTTTCAACAACAAAGTGATATTTCACACTACGTGACGTTTTTTCGCATATATCCGAGTGCGATTGCAAGGTTACACGCGGCAAAACGAATCGCTAGGCGCGTTGGCCTCGTATTGGCACCGTCCAAGAAAATTCAGACGTCGTCGTCGTTGCATGAATGAATGTGGAAATGCTGTTGGCGTATACTATAACATTTTTTTTTTCATTTTATGATAGCGGAAACAATCAGTCGAAGACTCAATTCTCCGGTGGCTCTTATACGTGACGAGACTGGGAATAGCGAAGAGTCCCTGCAGGTCCAACAACAACAGGTTACGTGACGTCAAAGTGACGTTAAAATGAATTGTGACTGATCGAAAAGTGCAGACTCTTAATAATCATTTTGGAGCCATTTTGACGTCATTTTGATGTCATCGTGACTTTTTGTTCTGCTTGGAATTCTCAAAAGTGTTCCCCCCCCCTCCTCCATAGACAACAGCCCGACCAGTTTTCGCTTTCGGTAGTTGCTTTCAAGTGGACTTAATTAAGCTTCATTCGCGACATATATATGGAAGTTGAGGGAGCTTCGAGCTGTCAGCCTTGACCCATTCAAGTGTCTTCGACCGGCCACCTCCTCCTCCTCCTCCTCACCTCTGCCACACGCTTTAAAACTTGGACCTTACACGTCGCGCCTTCTTACGCTTATCAAAGACGAAGATACGTGCGGTATCGCACGAAAATACGCGGGCTAAGCCACGCTCGATTATTTCCTTTTATTATCAATACCAATCGTGCGTGAATGAATCGATGGATCTTAAAGGGGTTTCTTTATGTACTCAAGCTATTTCCCACATGTTAATATTTGGAACTGATTGTATGACAAAAATGAGGAAAAGAGACTACTTTTATTTGCCACGCATTTTTACATTGTACTAATGGTATAAGACAGAGTTCGGTTATTTCATTCAACATTCTCCTCGCAATAATCCCATTCCTCCTCACGAGGTTGAGTATTGTATCTTGGCAGTGAATTTTTAATTCGAGGCGTCGTGGTCGCCGTACCGGGTTTTCCGATGCCCAGGGTGGTCAGCATTCCTGGTGGGTTTAGAATAGAGATTTTTTTGTTAATCAACGGACGCCTGCGTTAGATAAAAATCGCGAATTATTACACTGTTAAATCTATTGTGTCAAATTGAATCTTATTTAAGTCGCCACTGCTTCTACTTAATAAATAGTTATTTTTAACTAAAATAATAGAATTTAACCCAAATTTTGGTTAAATTTGAATTACTGTTTTAAATTATTTAACTTTTTTAGTAAAATTAACTATTTATTAAGTAAGAGCAGTTGCGATTTAAATAAGGTTTAGTTTAACACTATAGATTTAACAGTGTATGACAGCAGTGATATCCTTGCGTTCACACATTTCTATCAATGTAGATTAACTTTAATCTCGGTCAACTTACTTTCTTTATCTTTTTCTAATTAAAAATTAAAGAGTAATAAAGTATTCGAAAAAGATAAAGAGTAAATTAAATCGGGATTAAAATAAATCTACACTGGTAGAAAAGTTGCGTTAAATTTTGCAAATACTTAGAATGGAATGTCGTCTAAATGAGATCCGTTTCGATCGAACTTTTCGTATGTTTTGCGAGAAATGAAATTCTCATGGAAGTCTCTTAAATATTCACGAGGGCTTAACGAGCCGGGGAACGAAGTGGGTCTTGAATATGTAACAATTACGTATTACGTGCTATTTTTCGAGGGGCCACGTATAGGGCATACACGTCTGACATTAGACCTTTTAGTTTTCCCATCATATCAGTGTCCGGCTGCTTCTTCTCCTTCTCCTTCTCCTCCGTCGGCGGCTTCTTCACGTTCTGGTAGATCGTGTATCCGATACCGAAGGCGTGATTGAACACGAATTGAGCGGTGCAGAGCACCATTACGACGAGAATGGGCAGGCAGAGGCTGGTCTCGAAGTCGTCGAGGAACAAATTCACCGATTCCGGCAGCAGGTCGGCAGACATTCTCGCGTGAAAGTCTCGCCGGGGAGTTTAACCTTTACACTTCGATTTCGCGATATCGAGAACAACCGTCGACGACCGTTCGAAGCTCATTATCGCCCCTTCGCTCTCATTACGCCGCGAAGCTGCAATCGACCCTGCAATTTTGCGCGTCTCTCCTCTCTCGAAAACGGAGCTGTCAAATTTCGCGTCTTGTCCAATTTTCCAAGTTTGATGCGAGGCCGTCTCCGTCTCGCGCAACTCATATGTTCGCGGCTCGCTGATGTGAATTCGGCGGCAAGCGGCACGCGCGCGGGCCGCGGCGTGCTTCCTTATCTATCGCAGACACGATGATAAAACGAGACGAGCGTCATTTCAATAAACCTTTATTATCGTGTCTTTATATATAAACGAGAATGAATTAACATAGTATGACAAAACGCGTTTATTTTTACGTCGATTTACATCGCCACGTCATAGTCCGCGATAAGATCCAGTTCCATCAGTGACTGCACTTGCTGCGCGTCGCTGAAGAAGCTCTCCTCGTCGAAGCCGTCGCCCTCGATCTGCCGAAAGATCCGCGCCTCCTTCGACCGCGCGGTCATCCGCGCCACCTCGCTCGAGATCGACTGCTGCGACGGCTGCGTGAAGATGTCGAATTCTCCCTCGGACAGGCAATAGTCGTAATACTGGAACGACTGGATGGAATTGCATGGCGAGGCCGCGACCGTCGTGCCCGCGGCGAAGCTCGTTTCCGGACTCGTGATCTTGTAGCGTGACAACGTCGTTTTCGGGGTGCTCGTCATCGCGAACGATGTGCGAACGTGGAGCGGCGGGACATCGCTCAACAGCGACGACGGGGTGGCGACTAGATTGACGATCGACGACGGACTTCCGACGATCATCTTCGACGACGAGGACGCTGTTCGATCTACCTGCACGACCTCGTGAATCGGCGCGTCCGTCCTGCGATCGTCGCTCTCATCGATTTCCGTCTCCATCGGCTCGTCCCGCGCTTCGTTCACCTTTTGCTCGTGATCTTTAGCCGCCCGTTCTGACAACAATACGTCGTCATTCGTCACCATTGGCACATCGTGATTCGACGCGACAACATGATTCTCGTCTCCCTCACGTGTCCTCTCACGTTCCTCATTACGTTTCGGCGCGACGTTCGGGGATTTTCCTGCTGGAACCTGCGTTCCCTTCGTTCGCTCGCTTTGCTTGCTCAGATCCAATTGCTTCATGACACTTATTATATTTGCGAAAGTGAAACGGTTATCCTCCAATAGCGCGCGTAACTGAACGACCGCGTCGTAACACGATTTCTCCCACGACTGCGAATTCGCGACGGATCCGAGGTTATTCTAAAAAAAAAGAGTAAAAAATATTTGAATGTATAACAATTAATGTTCAATTCCACGGCGCGTTTTAGAGACTCACGTTTTGCGCGCTGACCGACTGCTGAGACGCGAACTCTCGCGCCTTGGTCGTAACGCATTTCGGTAGAGAGGACACTTCCGCTAGAGCGATCCCGTAGTGATCTGTAGGCCCGGTCCCGGGATTTAGTTTATGAGTATATATCAGATGTAGCTCGTTCGATTCTACCGGCTCCGTGGTTTTCGTCTCGAAGCAATGGCTGAAAAAATACCGCCGTAGTAATAAAATTATGAAATTAAATATGTGTGCAGTGTATTTTAATTGTGTATATTTTAATTTAAATATTATACACTGCATGGTTGCCAATTGCTAAGGAACATGTACAATTAGAGGCAGTATGAGTTCTTTATTGAGCTATAATTATGACAGGGATACCATGGAAACAAACGGAACAATAAAGATAATTAACAAAAAGGTCGGCTAGTGAGAGGACGGCGTGGTATTTCATACGCACAAACTGATGTTCACATATAATTTCATAATTAAGTTAAACGGTAAAATCATCGGACGTTTCGATTGCATTTCGAGCCAAAATCTTCAGCGAAAATTCTTTCAAAATTTTTCTCACACGCTCTTAAATCAAGGAAAAGTCGTAACTTAGATGCATGCAATTCTTATTTTTGATTTTCATGACTAAAAATTCAGGCGAAGACTAAAGTGAAAAGACAAATGAATTAGCCTAAAAAGGCGATTAAAAGCGTAAGAGTACAATATCCTTCGGAAAAAGATATTGTACTTCTGTAGAAAAAAATTATTCAGGATTTTTTTACTTGATTTCTTATAAAAAAAAATAGCGCTATTTAAAAAATATTTTTGAAGTAATAATTACTGCAGTATAAGTGATCGCTTTATTTAGCACTGTAGAAAAAATTGTTTCAAGCCTTTTCGATTCAGTTTTTTACTGATAGAGTAACGCTATACGATTAGCGGGTGCTATTTAAAATAATTAAACACCTTGTATAATACATATTTTATATTTATATATACATATATATATATATATATATATATATATACAGTCCCGAAATTCACGAATCAAAATATTATAGCAAGAAAGTGTTCGAAAAATTAAATAAAAAAATTATTTGTAAATTTTTATTTTAAGCAGTAATTTTTGAGATATAAGAGTTTAAATTTAGCCAATTATAGATTAGTACGAGCATGAAATGCGCAACTGCTAACACTATCGATAAACTCATGGACATGTTTCCGTTTAATCGTAATCTATAATTGGCTAAATTTAAATTCTTATATCTCAAAAACTACTGCTTAAAATAAAAATTTACAAATAACTTTTTTACTTAATTTTTTGAACACATTCTTGCTCTGATATTTTGATTCGCGAATTTCGGGACACCTTGATGTATATATATATATTTTTTTTTATAATTTTTTTATATATCATTGATTTCCACATACGTTGTCACGTTATGATACATATTGCTCAGCGCGGTGAGATGCAAAAAGTGCGTCGCTGCGAACGTAAACGCGGTCGTCAGTGATAATTTCTCGCATATCGCCCAAGCGATGGCGGAACCTTCCTCGACCGTGGTATGCCTGCATAGCTCGTCCAATACGACGAGAGACTTGGGCGTGACGGATTGCAGAATGTATTGTGCCTCTTTCATCTGAAATAAAAAAATTGGTAATCATATTTTTAAAAGTGGTACTCATGAATATAATTAGATGTCAACGGTTTAGCATTGAAAGCACCGGTTCTAGTTAAATGATTAAAGTTATGAGTAACGTTGGGCATGGTCAGTATCTGGTTAGATAACCATGTGGGAACGCTCGCTACTTACGTGTGCGGTATTTTTAATTGAAAAGTTAGAAAAACGGATGTCCGTCTCGAAAAAAAAGTGTATTATACGTATATATGTTTATACACTTTTTTTACATACACATATATATATATATATATATATATATATATATATATACACATATAAATATATATAATATAATAAAAATTATATATATGTAAAATTCAAATTTGCATCTTTTATATATAAAAATACATTTAAAATATGAATATAATAAGAATATATAATACAATATAAAGATATAAATTTTATATATATATATTATACATATATATATACACGGAAAGAACGATTTTGCTGGAAGATAAAAAAAAAATCTAAAAATAATTTTTGTTATAGCATCATCAAAATATTTTATCGGAAACTCATCAAGAATAATAAGCATTGCTGTAAAAAGTTTTGATATTCTAGCAATCAGTTTGACTTTCGAACAAAATTATTTTGATGATGACCTAACTAAAATTATTATCAGACTTTTTTTTGATCTTCCAGCAAAATCGTTCTTTCCGTGTATATATATATATGTATATATATACAGGATGTCCCGAAATTCGTGAATCAAAATATCATAGCAAGAAAATCTTCGAAAAATTAAGTAAAAAAGCTATTTGTAAATTTTTATTTTAATCAATAGTTTTTGAGATATAAGAGTTTAAATTTAACCAGTTATAGATTACGAAAACATGTTAAATGGAAACATGTCCGTGAGCGCGTCGATGTATTAATGGTCCGTGCATATTAGTCTATAATTAGCTAAATTTAAACTCTTATATCTCAAAAACTATTGATTAAAATAAAAATTTATAAATACTTTTTTATTTAATTTTTCGCGAAGACTTTCTTGCTATGATATTTTGATTCGCGAATATCGGGATACCCTGTATAATAAAAATGTAAATATATAAATGTACACAGTAAGAAAAAAAATTTATTGAAAAACGCAAAATTTATTTCATCTTACCAAAATATTTATTCCGATACGATCAACTAAACGTTACTACAACGACACAAAATAATTGGTTACTATTATAAACAAAATACTACTTTTTAATTAAACTATTTTGTTTCAACAAAAATATATCGTATTTAACTCAACCGTTCGATTAAAAATACACACTATTTATTATGCCCATCAGCATCGTTTAATCAGTTTAATATTTAGTCAGTTTAATATTTGGAATTTGAACAAATATAGGTATTACTTGGATAACTAAATGCATGCAAACACAAATAAGTTCGAAATACTAGTATTTCGAACAAAATAATTTAATTGAGTTAGTTTAATTAATTATTGAAAATTTTTGATGGTTGACATGAATAAACTATACTTTTCTTTGTGCAACTAAAGAATTGTTGAATCAATCATTGGATCAAACAACTATACAAATTTAGTTCGTACAATCAATTTTTTTTCTCAGTGTAGATATATAGATATACATCTATAAAGTATTCTTTTCTGTATATATAGAGCAAAAAACAAAAGATAAAAGAGGTATAATTACAGTTACCGCACGCTCACCTCGAGGACGTAGGCGGATGCATTGAGCTCGGCGTCATCGCGAGAGCTGATCCTACAAAGTATGCGATCTGCAATGCGAAACGTTGCCTTCTTCGCCGGTACGTAGGAACCGATCTGCAATAAGACACGAGTAACGGGTACGTTGGTCGAGATACCGATATATCGGATCGTTACCTAGTTTTGTGAAAAGGCTCAATTTTGCCCGATCGAGTATTATAAAATATGTCACAGTTACAATAGACTGGTATAGAATTCTTTTGTAGAAGCGTGTTTTATTACGTAACAAGGAATATATTTTCCAATGTAACGATCCGAGACGGAGATACAATCGGCAAATGTGCAATCGCGTGTCACCTGCGCCATGATTTGAAGTAGAACAATCTGTTTCAAGTACGTAGACTTGCCGCTCATATTCGGTCCAGTTATCAGATGAAAATTATGCGTGGCCGAAGCGTTCTGCAGTGCAGTGTTTCAAAATAGAATGAGAAGAAATATTATGGATTTATGTCTCTCAGGAAATACCGTGCCGTTCGAATACTCGTCGCAATTAATTGCACTCACCACGTCATTAGCCACGGGAAGATCCCTGTTAAATAATTCCATAATGGGATGTAACGAGTTTATCAATTCTAATTTCGCTCCGAATGACGGTCTCACGTATTCCGCATTAGAGCTGATTTCCGCCAAGGATAAGATCAAATCCAGCTCCGCCACGTCGGCGCTCAGTTGAAACAAACAGCCGACGTGTTGTCGAATGTCCTCCAGTAAATTGGTCAGCAATCTAAAAAAAAAAAAAAAAATTATTTCTCTATAAGTATAACGACACGCGAGGTTTTGCAAAAGTAACTTACGTGTTACTCATCATGTAAATCTCATCGCAAGCCTTCTTGCATTGTTTATTCAACGTCAATAGCGCCGTCGTTGTCATTGTGAAGGACTTCTTGTTCTTCCGTGCCTGTGTAATCGCGGGAGATATCAACTCCGCATCGTGTTGGAGGATTGAGAATTTATTGCGAATTGAAGATTAGAATTTTATCCATATATTACCAATTAGATCATTTTTATTTGAATGTTGGATTTCGTTCTTAATTGAATTCTAATATCCAGTTTGCAATTTCCTTAATCTTTAATGTTTAGTCTGATACGGGCAATCTTAGGTTCAATTGAGAGAGGGAGAGAGAGAGAGAGAGAGAGAGAGAGAGAGAGAGAGAGATTCCACGTTGAAAAGCAATGGAGTTACCTGAATAAATTCCGCCGGTAAGTCCGACATTGTCACGTTTAAACCCCGTGGCACGGCAGCGTTTATATGATATCCCAAATTTGTATTGTACTCTAAGGACAATGGAAGCTTGTGTTTCACGGCCAACTGCTCCACAATATCTGTTTAAACAGAGCCGCAAAATTGGGAGTAATTTTCGCCATTTGACGAGTATACGTTTAAATGTATTATTGTAACGCGTTTACTCTTCATGTCGCTGATCAACTCGCAATAAACCTGCCGAGAGATGTCCAGCAGCTCGTTGATATCGGTTTTTATAGCGAAACACCGCTGCATACTGAGGGAGGTGCATCCCTTGACGAATCTCGCGTCCGCGTGTATCAGCGTCAAAATCTTATCCTTCATAACGCGGAATTCTGAGTTTCCTAAGTTCTGCAAACACGCGAAGCCATCGCAATGTTGATGCAGATAAACGGCGAACAGATGATATTATAGCAAAATCTCGAGAAAGCGCGAACCTTTTGCGTTTTTACGAAGAACGGATGAACGCCGGTCGCGAGAATCGCTTCCAATTCCGGAATCGTGTCCAGACAGCTCTTTAGGAGCAGCGCATAATTTAGATTTCGCTCCGCATCTTGCACGTCGTTGACGGGCAGTGGTTTAATCGTCAACGTCAGCAAGCGATCCGTACCGAAGAGGCGTTGTACCACCGGCTGCGGAATAGACAGTTAAACACGGCAAAATCATTGATTTAAATTTAAATCATTGATCTAAATTAAAAAAATAACTTAAGGAGTTACGCCACTTTTGAGGTTTTATAAGAACGATACCTAAAGTTTGGGATTTTTTTGTGGATAAATGGATAACTTTATTTAAAATCTGTTTTGAGGTCATTATTGTACATATATAAGAAACTAAAAAAATATTTTTTTATTGTTCTTATGTCCAAAATGGCGGCACACTGGCCTATATCTGCAAAATCCATTTTTTTCTATCAGTGTACAGAATTCCAGGTACACGGTTTGATCTTGAACAAAACACAAAGAATTTTTATTATCTACATATTAAAAAAAATACTAATGAAGTATAGGTAGGGGTTTTTCAAAATATTGATTCTTCTCAAAATGGCAGCTATTTTAAGAAAGACTTGTCCTGGCGAAAAATACACATTTTTCGTAAAATAGCTGCTATTTTGAGAAAAATCCCTACGTATTTCATTAGTCTTTAATATGTAGCAACGAAAATTCTTTGTATTTTGTTCAAGGTCAAACCGTGTGCCTGGAATCTTGTACACCGATTTAAAGTTACAGAAAAAAAGTATTCCGCAAGTAGACCAGTGCGCCGCCATTTTGGACATAAAAAAATAAAAAATTATTTTTTTTGTTTATATATATACAATACACATATATATACAATAATGTCTTCTAAATAGATTTTTAATAAAATTATCTATTTACTCACAAAAAATCCCAAACTTAGGTATCTTTTAAGGCCTCAAAGGTGGCCTAATCCCTTAAATTTAAAATCTTACTATGGCATTTGTAATCCGATTTTATATTCAAGATCGTTTTAAATTTGATATAGACGATCTTAAGATTCCATCCAGCTAGTGAAATGGTCGTACAGCGTCTCGAGATTGCACTTGGAACATTGACAATAAGAGAATATTTGGTATTTAAGGTCTCTATTCTAAAACATTACTTTTGAAAAAAATTTTACTAAAAAGTTATAATTTACGCTACGTATGTTATAACTTTTAGTTAAAATTTTCCTCGAAAACACTGTTTTGATGCAGCCTAACATTATAATTGAATGATAAAATAATTATGATTAGGAGCTTCATTTTTATAATTATTATTGCTATAATATTTTAGTAATAATCTAGCTTATATTTATATTTATAACTATGAAAAACATCGTACTTTGAATCATGATAATTTCAAGTATTAGCAAATGTAGCAAGTGCAATCATAATTATAGTGAATGTAATTATTTTTTTAACATTTGTTATTTACGTGATAATAGTAATTAAAAAATATATAAAAGAAAAAATAATGAAACATTTATTTTTACGATATAATTGCATGTTATCTATAATTATAATAATCGTAATGTAATTGAAGTAACTGTAACTTGCATGATTAAATCAACTATAAATATATAGTTGGTATAAAAAAATTATCATAAATTATAACTAACTTGGGATAATTGCAATCACTTTTTTCTTTGATTGTGGAGTGGACGATCTTGAATATACATTAGCATATTATTAGATGCATCATATTTTTTGCAATTTATTGACTTTCAAGGATCACATTTATATTATATTATAATCCAGCAAAATATTTTTTCTTTAAACCATATCTATATATATTTTTTATTTTATAAAAGTAAATATTAACGAATACTAATAAATAATTGTATTTTTATTAATCGAGAAACAAAAGAGAAAATTCCACTTTAAATATAAAAGATAATAAAAATTATTAAATGTAAAAATAATTGTCATTTTCAGCCACTCCAGATGAATTTATCAGAAATAAACGGTCTGTGCGTCCAATAATACAGCCAGGGATCGTAAGATCGGACTATGAATATCGGCTTATGTAAAAGCCGCGCGCGACAACCTGAAGACTGATGCGCAGAGAATGATTCGCCACCAATTCCGCTACACAGGACTGCCGATCGGCGATTAAACGCTCGTCGCACGAAGGCTGAAGGATGGAAGCGCGCAGGAGCCTTCTGCCCATGGGGGTCAAGCAGCGGTTCATCGTGCCCAGCAAACTGACGATGGACTGCTTGGACTGCGAGTCGACCAGTTCGAGGCTACGGGCACTCTCTATATCTGCAGCACAGTGGATCGATCGCGCGATCGTCGGTTTACCACTCGATATCAATTCTCGTACGTACGAATACGAAACTCTATAGGGCTCGAGGCTAAAGTTTACCAATCATCGTGGTATTCGGCGATCCTTGAAACTCGATCCTCACCGATTTCGGGGCGTAAACTACGTGCTGGATGTACTCCACGTACTTCAGCAATGCGGCGGCGGCGGCTAAAGCGTAATACCTATAATATACGATCGCGACGTAGATATAGATATCGGCGGATTAATTACACAGTTTTATGCGGTTAATTGCGATTAATTTTGTTAGCGTTTACTTTTGCTTCACTATCAGCTCCACGGTCGAGTATTCCCTGGCGCATAAGGTTCGCACGCGTTCCATGCCGGTCGACTCGTTGAAGTGCACCCGCGAGATCGGCGTGATGTTGAGCCCGTGGAATTTCTCTCTAATCGATTTGCACAGTTTGTTCCCACGGCCGTGATGTTCGAACATCGTTTCGGGCATCAATATCTTAAAGAGATGAAGAAAAGAAGAAATTGCAAGGAATCAACTTTCGTATAAAAATATCTTTGTACTTCTTCTGGGATCGATGATCTCTTCAATTCGTTTAATTAATTAATTGTTTTTTTTTTATTTTAAGAAACTTCATTGAAACACGTGCTCACTTCTCTCGGATCGAGGACGTTGATCTTCGTCAGGGTATTCACATACGTTTGACAATCGCTGATCTGACAGAGAATCAAGTACGGGAATTGAATGTCTATCGCTGCCAAACCGACTTCGTTCCTGGCGTCACCTCGGCCGGCAGTTAAAGCTATCGCGAATAGGACGATCGTGGATTAAGACGGAATAATAGCTATTTGCGTTCTTGTTATTTAACATTCGCTCACCAATCAGCACACAGGATTCCACGCTGGACGTGCCGAGCGGCGTCGATCTTGCAACATTGATCGAGTTAACAGATTATCGAAAAATTATATCTTTAACGAAAAATCATATCATGGAAATATAGTATTATATTAGATGATTTTATAAACGGGACCGATTTATAATTCTCTTCTATAGATAGGTAAAAATGGAAAATGGAAGAAAAATAGTTTTTTTTTTTCGCAGACACAAGAATACAGCTGCAGAAAGAAATATCTCTTTTAATGAGACCATACAATTTTTTTTCAAATCGCTTTATTCTTTTATCACAGTGCTACAAGAATATCAAAATAAAATTATTTAAAAGCCAATAATTATTTTGTTTTGGTATGTTCTTTGATAAACATTATATTACGATATCTTTTTATTATAATTACATTATAATTTCTTTTTTTAATCTCCAATTATACTGCATATAAAAATATCAAGATAAAATTATAATATGACATTTATCAAAGAACACATTAAAACAAAATATTATATTATGATCTATTTATTATAATTAGATTTCTTCCTTTTTTAATCTTCAATCATTGTTTGAAAATATTGAGATGAAATTGAAACAAAATAAATTTTATCTTTAATTATTAATTTACAGATAATTTTATCTTCAATTGTGATGTACATAAAAATATAAAGATGAAATTATCTAAAATAGTTAAGAGAAAAAAATATTTAATACGTTTTTTTGATAAATATTTTTAATAAATTTATAGAATCATCCTCTGTATATAAAAATAGAAACTTATAGACGTGAGATTTATCTCACCTTACACTACGACGAGAAGTGCTCGGCAAGTAGGATGATGTAGTAACGTAATTCTCTCTCTGATTGTGCCTTGGTGTCTTTGCATTAGAATGTCCGGGTCCAGAACTCGACGTCGTGGGTCTCAAGAAACCCGAGTCGAATTCTACGTTCGTGCGTGAAAAAACGACGCACCGACCGCGAGACATCGAATTTTCGAACGGCGAAACGCAGTATCGGAGAACCGGCAGCCCCAGGTAAAGAAATTCAAAGCGTGTCGATAGTTAAAAAATAATCGAAAAATCGTGATAAACATCAATAGACGCGAACCGTAATCGACCTCGATCAATTCACCGTTAGAAATCGAACATATACAGATTCGTGTAGAGACGCAATATAGTTGTTAGGAACTTTGTTAAAATTTTATCTTGATTAAATTAAATTGATTAAATGAATTTTTCTAAATATAAATTGGCAAATCGTGAAAATTAGACCGTCGCTGGCGCGTCAATTATTTTTTCCAGCGACGCGCGACACGATGCCACGACTTACGATATTTCGGAAAGATGTTCGTGGCGCGTTGCGCGATCGGCATCGGGATCCTTCCTCTCGCAAAACCGCGCCGTCCTCTCCGCGGAGCGGCGGCCTGCATCACATTCATTTTGCACGAAGCGCGAGGAGGCGAACAGGTTCTATGCAGGGACACCTTGAGATCTCTTGCAGCGCTTGCCGTGTAATTTCTTAGATTTCCTAGATCCGTTTCTTGGCGGCCGCGCTATATGCTAAATACTCTCTGGACTTGAAATCAAGTGAATATGTAATAAATGCGTATATAATTGTAGATACGCGTTGGAGAGGAAGAGAGGAAGGACGAAAAGTCGACGAAGTTCAGCTGCAAAGAACAAATTTCTTTCAACAAGTCGCTTCTCTCCGGAATGGTCTGAACTTAACCCCTCGTAATAATCGTATAATAAATCCGGCCAATCAAATCCTTCGAAACGTCGCGCATCGCTTGAAGTTAACCCTTTACAATGCCGCGGAACTTTGAATTTATATTTCGGTATTCGTGTATATTTTTGTGTATATTTTTTAAGTAATTTTATTTCATTCTTTCAACTGAACGTATAGTATTTTACTGTCGTACCATTCTTTCGTAACCTAGAAGTCTATTTATAGCGGGTTTTTTTTAACGGAGGAATGAAATAGCTCATTTAGCTAATCTTTTCCGACAAGAGAAGACGTTGCAAAATTCATAGTGTGAACTGCGAGTGTTCTTAAAATAAAATTTTCAAAAAATGTGAAATATATACCTTTGTTTAATTCTAAATTTTACGGACTTCCATATTATGTAAAACATGTAAAACTATATCATAACGTATACTATACGCAAGTGTTGCACCTATTCCATTGTGACTTTAGATTTATAAATTTTTTATATTAAAAAATTGAAAATTAATAACAAAAAAGGACAAGTCGTTAATGTAAAATTGTTTATTTTTACATTAACAACTTATCCTTTTTTATTAATTTTCAATTTTTTAATACCATAAAAAATTTATAAATCTAAAATCACAATGGAATAAGTACTCAAAAACACGCCAAACTAAGCATTAAAACGAGGCGTTATTAATAACGTTTATCAATTATACGTATAAAAAACATAAATTATTCAAGCAATGTGAAAGCAATTTCGCGATACATGTTTCAACTTTATTTAGTCTTCTTCAGCCCCACATATATAATATATAAATACGGTATAAATTAATGATTACATACAAAACTAAATGTTTTTATTTTATTCGATTGAGACTAATTGTAAGTTAAGTTGAAACATGTACTGCAAAATTACTTTTACTTATTGCTTGAATAATTTATGTTTTATATTATAATCAATAAACGCTGTTATCCTTGTTTTAATGCTCGTTAGCTTGGTTTCTTTTTGAATTTTGTTTCAAAAATTAACTTATGTCCCAAGATCAATAAAACAAAGTGTTAGCGACACTTCGCTATATAGTTATGTAGTTTTTTCAAACATAAAAACAAAATTGAATTAGAGAGATTAATACAATTGAATATTAAATATAGGGATGCAAACTCTTGAAAAAAAATTCTCTCTCCTTGTCATAGTATAATATATTTATTTACAATTTCGTGTCCTTTTAAGAATCTGCGGTGAACATGTCCGCTTGGGTTAATAATAAATAACACGATCACAATCACTATCCCTCTCGAAATAAATTATCGCTTCTCATCGTCGTTTTCTTAGAATTTAGTTACATTTGTATTTACATGCATAATCAAATCGATTGTCTTCGGTTACTTTTAACGCCTCGGAATCCTCGATTCGCGCGACAGTAACTGGTAATTACATAAAATTGTTGTTAAACGACTGCACCTCGCTCCGGACAGACGAAGAGATAACACGTGATGTACGGCGACTCGCGCAAAAAAATTTAGCCGTATTTACACATTAAATCCTCTAACGCATAAACTTAACGTAGAATATATTGCGCCGATCCCGAGTGAATTCTACACGTACATTAAATTAGTCGCGATTAATATGTCGCGTATAGACTCCTTTATAATTCGCGGATATATCAATATTGTAAATAAACGGACGAAAAAAAAGATGTATTAACAGCACAACTGGACAGCAGTCTAGTTGAAAATAACTTTAATTCAATAATAATAATAATGAAAATACATTACGTTACGTCCTGTTGTTCCAATAAAACGTTATTTGTTTCATCAATATTGCTATTAAATTAATAAGATTATTTTTAATTAGACTACTATTAAATTAATACTGTTAATACATCATTTGTTTCCTCGTTCGGGCGCGCGGACACCAGCCGCAGTCGCGGCACGCTGAACGAGCGAGTTTGTCGTAGCTTGGACACACTCGCTTAACGATAGCAACTCAGCTGCGACACGGCGGCGCGCGCTGAACGCAAATTACAAGGGTAAGATAAAGGCGGATAGTTTTTTTGCATAGTGTTATAGTATATCTCGGAGGGGTACAAATAATGCAACACTAACGATCCACACAGGAGACTCAAGCGAGAGATATCGAGTAACTCTATCCTTAACGGTGATACTAGCAATACAGATACGTGTGTCGCACCGGTTTAACGTGTCATCCTCGTAATGGGGGGTGGGG